TGTATTAAAATTGTAATACTCAATATATACTGATAACAAAAGGTGAATACAAGTCACGTTTGACTTCTGCAATTACAAGAGGTGCTCAAAGTGGTTACCATCAGCATCTAGACACTTCTGATTACAGCGAACATTGGTAGACTTCTGTGGCCAGCATGTAAACTGTTCCAACACCATAACAGAAGAAGCAGGACTTGCTGTGCAAGGCCTCCCGGATCTTCCCTTGTGCACATCACACACAGTACCACACATCTCAAACTTATCACAAATGTGTGCAATTGTTAGGCATGTTGGAGGTTCTATTGCATACTCATGCCTCCATTCTCGTTGTACTTCCACAATGTTCTCGAATTTCAAATACCACTTCAAAATGGTCTTGCACTCCTTGAACAACCGTGCTTCCAGCATTTTCTTTAACTGTCCTGCCTGTCACATAGTGATGGCTAGCATTTATTTGATTGATGCCATCTTTTGAGCGAACGTCATACTACACGTTGCTACTGTAATTCAATTCAACTTCGAAAAGTAATACATAGATACCATCTCTTAAAATGTGCATACATTTTTTTTTGGTACCCCCGGTATTTGAAAACAGTCATTGTTAGACTAAATCTTGAGGTACTTCATGTTTTCCACAAGGTCTTTCAGCAATTTGGTTTTTCTCTGAAAATAATCTAATTTGACTTTAAGTGTTGTACCCAGACCTGAACGCAATATTTTAAATTCTATGATAATCTTCTCTCATTAGTGATGCATTTGATTTTGTTTCATCAGATGTGCTGCTACTTTGTTTAACTCATTCACCAAAGATTGTGGCTTCCACATATTTAACTTTGTAGTTTCATTTGAGAATTAATTTGTCATTTTGCTACTACTGTGAAGTTGGTTTGTTCTGCTGGAATGAGTTGCTTAGCTAGCACAGGAACCTGGTCAAAGCTCAGCAGACATATCTTCTCGTTCTGCTCTGTTTGCTCCTCACCATGAGCAACTATATACTCAAAAAAGTAGTTAAAAAAACACACAAAATATTAATTATTTTGTGAGAAAAAAGTGGCCTTTATATAATACACATAAAATCTTGCTGAAAACCGAAGAGGCTCTTAACCTTTAGTGTGGGGTTATGCACAGGAATTTTGTGACAAAATAAAGCAAAACGTAATTCATTCAGGAAAAAACAAAAAGATTTTACAAACATTCCACTTCTGTGAATTTGGAGATTCCAGAAGGTTTTTAAAATATATCCCTTAAGAATATTCTGGCTTGTTTTCTTAGTATACAATTATGTCAAGTACTAAAAGTGGTATTTTATACCTATTGTTTTTATTTCCTTTTCATTATACCATATTTCATCAAATCTAAAATGCCATTAACTATAACATACACCATTATTTTTATACTACCAAGAAAGAAAAAAAGCTGTCAAACTATGACATGCCATCAATTTTAAAATATATTCTGCCATCATAGATGACAAAATGTTAAAAAAAAAAAATAGGTGAGTCTTACAATCAATGAAATGTGATACATTTTCATTAGCATAAACCTAAATAATGACTGGGACCACCTTTGTAATTTTTTTCTTTTCAAAGTGCTTTTTTAGGATGTATAGCACTGGCTCTTGGCTTTAATTATATCATAGTTACTGTGTTAAGAAACTAGAAACCTGTTATATTTTTTTCTTTAAGCTTAAAATCAAGATTCAATTTTACATTTCATCAGAGGAGTTTTTGGTATCTATTGAGACAAATGAGTTTTTCTCTTTTTCATGTTAATTTGATAAATAATATTAATAATTTTTATTTTATTTACCTGTATACTTTAGTTGTGAGGGACAATTTCTTTAGTATTTCTGCATAAGTAGATGTATCCGATAATTCCATTTTGGTGTTTAACTTTTCAGATTAAGAGAGAGTTGAAAACAAATGTGCAACAATAGGAAAAAGTACACAATGGTAT